GGGAAAGAGAAAGCTATGAGAAACCAGACTTTCCATGATGCTCCCAGAGCAACTCTTCTGAGACTCAAGATGAAAGAAGTCACCACTGTCCTCAGCTGTGACCTCTACAGCAGTCTCAGATGAACCTGGTGCCTCAGTCCCCTCCTCATCTCAACAATCCTCACCTTTCATTTTGTAACTTCAAGTCAATTGCTTTATGATCTCTATAGTGTCCCCATTCTTTGAAGATAAAATCCTCTCCCAGTCCTGCTCTTCTAGGACAGAAGAATCCAGAAACATCATGGCCCTAGAGTCAACGTGGTATCTTGAAATTCTGCCAGAAGAATTCATCTCAAGATGGATTTCTGCTGCCAGGGGTGACTTCTCCCAGCTTTAACTGTAGAGGCCCATGTTGTGTCCATGCATCCAGGACCTGTGGGACACAGAAGCAATGTCACATTGCTGGGGGCTTTACCAAGAGCCCTAAGCCCTCCCTTCCTCAGCAGGGATCCTGTCCTCAAACCCTCTCGATACACAAACAGAGTAACCATCTAAAGAAGGAGTTCCGACCTTCATTCCTTTTTGGTCTTTAAACCCTCAAGTCCATCCCCTGTCATGCTCCCTTACCTTTCAAAATTTATAACTTCTTTGGGTTGGCCCATAGTTCAGTGGTTAAGGGAGACCATGTGGCCAACCACACTATCAGAATCCAGCCCTTGCAGCCTGAACAACATACCAAGCACATGTGCATGCTTGCCCCAAATCCCAAAAAGATAGAGAAATGGAGGAGAAGGCATTGCAGCATGACCACCCCTATATTGGGGAGTGCTTCCTCCCTCTCCCACTGTCTTTTTCCAGTAAGTGGACAGGCCCTCTGGCAACTACAAAATAAATAAATAAAAGTGCAAGTAGTAAACCAGGACAGGAGATGATTAACATCAAAAAATTGTGACCTGGGTCAGCCCTGGAGCCTAATGGTTAAAAAGCTGGCTCCCAGGTGGCCAACTGTAGTTGAAATCCCAGCCCCAGAAGCTTGAAAAACATGCCAGACACAGATGTGTGTACCTAAAATCTCAACAACATAGAGAAATGTAGAAGGGATTGCAGAGTGGCCATGCCCCATGAGGAATGCTTTCTTCCTCCCTCCGTCTCTCTGGTGAGCATAAAAGCACTGTCAATTAAAAATAAAATTTAAAATTAAAACTACAATGACATACCATTATATAATAGACACAAAGACAACAAAAAACAAAAACAGTGATGGCATGAATGGTGTCAAGAATAGGTGCCATGAGGGACCAGCAGTTAGCGTAATGGCTATGTCGCTGGACTCCCATCTAGTCGATCATGGTTCAAGTTCCAGACCCAGCGGCTTAAACTCACGCTGGGCGCGTGTGCGTGTGTGCCCAAGATCACGAGAGGAGAATGGAGGAGAAGGAATTGTGGTGTGGCCATCCTCCCTGGGGGGTGATTTCTCACTTTCTGTCTGTCTCTCTCTGTCTTTCTGGTGAGCACACACATTCTATAGCAAAAAAAAAAAAAAAAAAAAAACTTCTCCAAAAAAAGAAAAAAAAAAAAAAAAAAAAAAAAACAGGTGACTCGCTTATTCTTAATGGCTGATACAGTATTACAGAAAAGTTGGGTTAAAGCGAGTGTAAAATAGTTCAATCACTTAGAGCAAACTAGCAGTTTCTTAAGAAGTTACTTACAAAGTAAAGTAAGATAATACACTTACCTCAAGACCCAGCCATTCTACTTATAGCTATTTATTCAAAAGTCTTGTAAACAAGACTCGTACAAGAGTGTCCAGAGCAGGGGCTAGCAGGCGGCATAGTAGTTAAGGCACTGGACTCTCACATGGCTAACCATGGTTCAAGTCTCTGACCCATCAGCTTGAAACACCAGGCACATGTGCGTGCATGCCCAAAATCCTGAGAGGAGAGTGGAGGAGAAGGCATTGTTGTGTGACTATTCCCCTTGGGGTGGGGGGGTGATTTCTTGCTTTCTGTCTGTCTCTCCGGCAAGTGCACCCTATAGCAAAAATCTTTTTTTTTTTTTTTTGAGAGGGTTTTTGCTAGAGGGCGCATGTTCTCAGGTTTTTTGCTAGAGGGCGCATGTGCTCTTCAGAAAGACAGAGAGACAGAAAGTGAGAAATCACTCCCTGAAGGGGATGACCACGCCGCAATCCCTTCTCCCCCATTTTCCTTTCGGGATCTTGGGCAGGCATGTACACGCGCCTGGCGTGAGTTTAAGCCACCAGGTCTGGGACTTGAACCATGGTCGACTACATGGGAGTCCAGCAACATAGCCATTATGCCAACTGCTGATCCCACAAAAATCTTTCTTTAAAAAAAAGAAAGAAAGAACATTCACAGTGTTTTCAGTTGTAACAGTCCCAAACTGGAAAAAACTCAAATGTCCAAGGACAAGAGAAATGTTGAACAATTTTACATAATGGAATGACACAAGGTGATCAAAGGAGAAAACAATGATACAGATAAAGTCCCACAGGTGAATTTCAAAAGCATGTTGTTCTAAGGAAGCTCCATATAAGAGCATACATTATATTCCGTCTATATGAAAGAACAGATAGAAGTATTATGTGGTGACAGAGATCAGAACCATGGTTACTTCAGGGAATAGGGAAGGAATTGTTGGAAAAGAAACGGCATGAAGAAACTTTCTGTAGTGATGGAAAAGTTCTGCATGATGACTAGAATGGTGGTTATTGGGAGTGCTCATCTGTCAAAACTCACTGAAATATACTCTCAAGATTTGCATATTTTATTGTATATAAATTATACCTCAATTTTTGGAAAGGGCAAATTAAAAGGTCTCTCTCAGTTACACATAATGTATTTTGAAATAAAATGACATATTGTCCAAAATTAGCTTCAAAATATCCTGCAAAGAGCCAGCAGGTGGCATAGAGCTTAAGGTGCTGGACCCCACATGGTCAACTATGCAGTTCAAGTTGTGGATCTGGTGTCTTGAATGTACTCACAGTGAGCATATGTGTGCCCAAAATTCCAAGAGAAAGAAGAAGGGATTGAAGTGCGGCCATACTCCTGGGGAGGTAATTTCCCACTTTCCCTCTCTCTTTGCCTCTCTCTGGCAAGCAAGCACACATGTCCTATAGCAAGCACTTAAAAATATATAGATATAGATGTATGTATTGAGTTGTTTGGACAAATCATGATGCATTTTTGCATAGAAAAATACGTCATGATTTTTCTGTCATGATCTTCTACCAAAAAAAAAAAAAATAGCAGGAAGAGGGTCATTGGTAGTATATGAAACACGAGATGATTATTCTTGATGCTGGAAAATGGATTCATAGCACATATTTAAAATTTTCCATTATGAAAAGTTAAGCATACAAAAAGACATCTGATTTTTTTTCTTGAAAGTTTATTTTTTCTGTATCTCAAGAGAACTTTAAGAAGAAAACGGTTACTAAGTTTTTAACTTAAAATCAAAGCCCAGTCACAGCAACTCCATGCTCTAAAGCCGTCCAAAGAAATGAACAGTGCAACTCCTGCTCCTCTGATGTAACAAACAGGAATCATACATGAACCTAAGTCTGTTGTTTTCCATGGACAGTAGAGTGTTACGGTTTCAGCACTGTCAGTACTGGAGCTTTGGAAAACTGGAGAAAGCTGCAGCCTCCAAAATGAAAAGTCTGCTAAGTGTCAATGGATTGTCTATATTCCTCACTTTGTAACTCTGTTCTTTCAAGGAATTCTAGAACAGCGCACACAGTTCCAGGTCCCTATTCCCTCCTGCCTGCTGGACATCTCAGCCAGCAAACACTTACTGATATCTGTCCTGAACGGGGCACTGGACAGAGGTTCGCAGATATCCGAAGATCATGACAGGTCGCTGGCCTGGGGAGCCTAGGTGAGGGGTACAGCCTTGCCAGCAGGGCAGACGACAAGCTGTCACATGAGGGACATAATAGTGTGAGGACACTAGTCCCCCTTCTTCCTCCCCTTGGCCTGCTTGCTACTCCTCTCCTCAGTCTTCTCACTGGCAGGTCCACCCAGTTTTCACCCACGCTGACCTCAGAGTCATCGCTGGCTCCATGCCCACCGCCACACCTAGTCACAAAGGCCTGAAGAGGCTGTCTCCTTCAGTGTCCTCTCCAATTCCTCATCATCCTGCATCAGCTGAGAAGCGACAACAGCCAGGAGGCCCTGATTCATGCCTCCTGCCCCAGCACAGGGCATGTCTACTTGGCTCTGGCTGACAGTCCCCGCGGATGCACGGTAGAGCCGTGCTCCCTACTCGGAATTTGTGCGGCCCAGAATAATCTCACCACCTTCAGCAAGGAAATTAGAAGTCCAGGTTTCACTCGCCCTGGCCAATAAAGGAAGCTGCAAGAAGCGCCGGACAACTGAGGCTCCCAAGCAGGCTGAGTTCCATCGCCTGGAGCCGCGCCCCCTCCACCAAAAAAGAAACTTCCGAACCCGCGGTTCTGGCCGCCCAGGCGCCACCTACACTCTCCCACCAGTCACACTCTACCCCTCATTCTAGCCCTAGGCCTGGCCTTCGCCACGACACCTTCCCGGAGAGAAAAGGCACCCGTGGTCACCAACCTGCGAAAGCTCCCAGATCCCGGCCGCTGCCCTGCGCCAGAACTACATTTCCCAGAATCCTCGGCCTCCCAGTGGCCGCCGCGGAGCCCCTTCTGGGCCCTGCAGCATTTCATTTACCAGGAAAATGGCTACAGGAGCGACAAATCCTCAGATCTTTTGTGGAAATGCCCATACCAAAAACAGATACCGATTCCGGAGTGAAGTCTTGCTCCACCTTGGGCCTGTTCTCCGGAAAGACTACAATCCCCATAAGGCTCTGCGGCAGCCTCCGCAACGCTTCCGGATCCCTGAGCGAATTCCGGTCGGCGAATTTGGCTAGTGCAAGGTATCGGCAGATTGCAAGTGTTCTGATTCTTCTTTTCCTGCACTGGCAGAGCCAAACTTCCCGGCCAAGGCTCCATACCGTACACCCTGCCTGACGTGCGCATATCCACGGTTTGGCTTCTTGCCACCTCAAAGGCCAAAGTTAAGAGTCAGATACTGCATGAGGTTCAGAATGAAAATGGGCCTGAAGAAGAAAAAACAAATTGTTTAACTATTCTATTTTCTACTTTCACTCACTCAATAGGACACTTAACGCAGAATACTTCACCTCTTGCATCCGAATGGATGGAAGTTTTTTCACACACACCAAGAAATGCTCTAGCAGACACCACCTGGTATCTTATAATTCCATTCAATTCTGACACTGTCTACCTGGAAATAATGTCAGGTCCCATTGGTTAAGGGCTCAGTCTCATAAAGACTAACCCCACTTCAGACAATAGTTGCAAGTGCCAGGTTGTGACCTATATTTCCGACCAATCAGCTAAAAACCAAAATCCCTTCCTCAGCTTTAATTCGCTAGGGCAGTTCACACAACACAGGGAAACACATTTATCAGCTTATTATAAAGGCTATTACAAATGACAATGTATGTTGTGAACAGCTAGATGAAGAGATGTACAAGGGACCAGCAGTTAGCGTAATGGCTATGTTGTTGGACTCCCACATAGTCGACCGCGGTTTGCGTCCCGGACCCGGTGGCTTAAAACTCACACTGGGCGCGTGTGCGTGCGTGCCCAAGATCCCGAGAGGAGAATGGAGGAGAAGGGATTGCGGCGTGGCCATCCCCCTGGGGGGTGATTTCTCGCTTTCTGTCTCTCTGTCTCTCTCTGTCTGTCTGGCGAGCGCACACGCCCTATAGCAAAAACCTCTCCAAAAAAAAAAAAGAAAGAAAAAAAAAAAGAGAGAGATGTACAAGACAAGGTATGTGGGAAGGGGCATGCCATCTTCAGGTTCCTAAGTTTTCAGCAGTCTGGGTGCTCTCTGATCCCTGTTCTTTTATTTTTTTTTTTAAGGAGGTTTTAGTAAGTAGTCATGATTTTTTGTTTTAAGAGATTTTTGCTATAGGGTGTGCGTGCTCACCAGAGAGACAGAAAGTGAGAAATCACTCCCCAGGGGTGATGACCATGCCACAATCCCTTCTCCACCAATCTCTCCTAAGGATTTTGGGCACATACACGCACGTGCCCAGCGTGAGTTTTAAGCCCCAAGTCTGGGATTCTAACCATGGTCAACTATGTGGGAAGCCAGCAACGTAACCATTACGCCATCTGCTGGTCCCAATAGTCATGATTAATCATATCTTTGGTGATCAACTTAGCTTTCAACTCTTCTCTCTTCCTCAAGAGTGGTTATAAGAGTTCCAACTATCACGTAGTTGGTTCCCCTGGCAACCATCCCCGTCCCAAGGCTATCCAGGAGCCCACCAAGAGTCACCTCATTAGAACAAAAGATGCTCCTGTCAGGAAATTACAAAGGTCTTAGAAGCTCTTGGGACCAGCAGGTAGCTTCGTGGTTAAGTTGCCAGACTCCCACATGGCTGACCATGGTTCAAATCCTGGACCTGGCAGCTTGCTTTCTCACTTTCCTTCTCTCTCTCTCTTTTTGTATCTCTCTGGTGAAGATGTGTACCTTATAGCAAATTAATAATAATAAATAAAATTAAATAATTATTTTTTTAAAAAAGATCTGTGTCAGGAACCAGTGTCAGAACAAGTATTAGAATAAAATATTCTCCTAACACTCCAATGTTCAAGGGTGGTGGGCGTTCTTAAGAACTCTGTATTAGGAACTATGGACAGAATCAATAATATATTTCTTCCAATATCACCAATCACAATGCAAATAGGAGTTAGTATAAACATGGTAAGGGTTAGTATAAACATGAAGGTGGGTGTTAGGGTCAGGGTTTGGGTCTGAATAGGTTTTGTGGTAAGAGTCAAGGTCAGAGGAAGATCAGGTTGAGGGAGAGGTTCAGAGTTTGGTGATGATAAGGGGCCAGTGTAAGGACAAGGGGCAAGGTCAGTGTAGGTTGAATGTGAGAATGAAGTTTAACTTCAAAGCCAGTTTGAGGTTCAGGGTGATAGGGTCAGGGTGAGGTACAGTAGAAAGTGAAGATAAAGGTCATTAGGAGAATAAGAGTCAGGGTCAGGATAAGAATGAGACTGAAAGAATGATGGTCATTCCTAGTGACAAAATCAGAGTCTGAATGAGAGTCAGTGTCAGCACCAAAGTCAAGATTAAGTGTAGGGTTCAGGTTCAAGAAAAACGTCAGGGTCAGAATCACCATTAGAGTTTGGGAGTCAGGGTCAGTGTGAGGCTCAGGGTGAATATGATCGTAAATTTTCTGTGTCACCTTGACTGGGCCACAAGATGTTAGACATTATTCTGATGTTACTGTGAGGGTAGATTTTGGTCCATTATTGTGTTCCTATCAGAAATATATGAAACTGGATGAGTTATAAGGAAATAGAGGTTTAATAATTCATAATTCTGGTGATTGGGAAGTCCAAAGGCATAGGACTTGGCATCAGGCCAACCTACAATGGAAGCATAGCAGATGGTGGGTGCATGCAGAGAGAGAGCCGTAGGCAGCTCTCACTATCTTTTATAATATCCAGCTCTCCTGAGAACTAATCTCTTCTCACCATTACTGAAACTCATTGGGTTTTAGGCCTACCCCATGTCCTGGTGGTTGAGGGAGCTGGATCTCACATGGCCCACCATGGTTCAAATCGTGGCCTAGAAGTTTGAAATACACATTGGGCACATGTGTATTCATATCTCCATGATGCAATCACCACAACCCAATGACCACCCACCTCACCGCCTCCCATATCAAATTCCAAAACATAACAAATTTTGGAGACAAACCATCATCAAACCTTAGCGAGATATTTTAATATTTCAATCTATAGTCTGAGTAGAGAAGATTGCTCTCCTTATTGTGAGTGGACCTCATCCAATCGGTTGAAGGCCTGAAACGAACAAAGAACTGAACCTCCCTCAAATAAGAGGAATACCTCCTGCCTGACTGCCTTCAAGCATCACCTACCTCACCTTTTTTCTTGTCTTTAGACTCCAACTGAAATATCAGCTCTTCCTGGTCTTACGCCTGCTGGCCTTTGAATTAGAATTATACATTGTTGCAGGGCCAGCAGATGGCCTATTGGTTATGTCACTGGACTTGCACAGAGTCGACCATGTTTCAAGTGGCTTGAAACTCATGCTGGACACATGTGCATGCATGCCCAAGAGCCTTGGAGAGCAGAGGAGAAGGGGTTGTGGCATGGTCATTGTCCCTGGGAAGGTAATTTCTCATTTTCCCTCTCACTGTCTCTGCCTCTCTCTCTCTAGTAATAACATGCACCCAAAGGCAAAAACCTCTACCAAAAAAAAAAAAGAAGAATTTTTATACATTATTGCACTTTGATTGCTTAGCTTCATCCTAATTTGTTGAATGTCATTAAAAAAAGGAAATTTCGAGAACAATTTTGTAATTATAAGCTCATTTTCTTTAATAGTGCTTGGATTCAGGTAATTCGACTCTAACTCACTGTTTCACACTTCTGAGAGAGGCAGTATCTGGTTCTCAGCTTGTTTACACATGTACTGCTTAGTCATATATAGTTTCATCTTTATTTTCACAAATTCAGTGTAATAGAGTGCTTTTGAGGACAATGCCTGCTTCTGAGTTAGGTTTCACTAATGCTGCTTAACTTGACCTTAATTTAATGAAACATGAGATCAGGTGTCTCTGTTTTGTGTTTTGCACTAGTTTGCATATATAAAGTTTATATGTCATTTATGAAGCTAATAAGTTCATTTATAATGAGTGATTTTTTTTTTGGAGAGGTTTTCGCTATAGGGCGCGTGCACTCGCCAGACAGACAGAGACAGAGAGACAGAAAGCGAGAAATCACCCCCCAGTGGGGATGGTCACGCCGCAATCCCTTCTCCTCCATTCTCCTCTCAGGATCTTGGGCACGCACACACAAGCGCCCAGCATGAGTTTTAAGCCACCGGGTCCGGGACACGAACCGCGGTTGACTATGTGGGAGTCCAGCGACATAGCCATTACGCTAACTGCTGGTTCCCATAGATGAGTGATTTTGAGCTTGATTTCACATAAATTTCCTAATTTAGACTAGCTACACTTTAACTCTCCCTGAGCAGTCAGTTACTTTTGAGCATGATGTCTGTTTCTGAACTCGTTCTCATTAATATACCGCTCAATTCTGGGTAGCTGTGCTCTGACTCATCTTTTTTTTTTTTTTTTTTAAGAGGTTTTGCCATAGGATATGTGCGTTCACTGGAGAGAGAGAGAGACAAAAAGCAAGGAACCCCCTGGGGGGTGGAGTGAATGGCCATGCTGTAATCCCTTCTCCTCCATTCTCTTCTTGGGATTTTGGGCACACACGCACACGCCAGCATGTTTCAAGCCTCTGGGTCCAGGACACGAACCATGGTTGGCCATGTGGCAGTCCAGTGCCTCAACCACTACACCACCTGCTGGCCCTTCTAACTCATCTTAAGGACAAGGGAACCAGCAGAAAACTGGTTTGGGAATATCGTTGATCAGCTCTGTTCACAGCAATTCGCCCAGGCATCTCCTGGAAAGCATTAGTATACATGGGGACTAGCCTTCTGCAAAAAGTAGAGGGAACTT